TATGAGGAATTTCCTGCAGGAGGTTCAGTGGGACAGGGAACTGGTAGGAAAGTCAGTAAACAAAATGATGGAATATGTAACAACAAAATGCAAGGAGGCAGAGGAAAGGTTTGTTCCCAAGGGCAACAGAAATAATGGGAAGACCAAAGCGAGTCCTTGGTTTACCTGAAGGTGTAGGGAGGCAAAAACTAAGTGCACCAGAGAAAAGGTACAGGAGGCAAAGGACCCAGGAAAATAAGGAGATTAGTCGAAGAGCCAGAAACGAGTATGCACAGATAAGGAGGGAGGCCCAGTGACAGTACGAAAACGACATAGCATCAAAAGTTAAGTCTGACCCAAAACTGCTGTATAGCCACATTAGGAGGAAGACAGCAGTCAAAGACCAGGTGATCAGGCTGAGGAAAGAAGGTGAGGAACTTACAAGAAATGATCAAGAGGAGCTCAACATGAGATTTAAGGAAGAATTTACAGTGGAGACAGGAAGGCCTCTGGGAAGACAGAACAGAGGGGGACACCATCAAGGAATATACCAACAAGTGTTGGATGACATACACACAACTGAGGAGGTGAAGAAGCTGCTAAGTGATCTTGATACCTCAAAGGGAATGGGACCAGACAACATCTCCCTGTTGGTCCTTAGAGAGGGAGCAGAAACGCTGTGTGTACCACTAACCACAATCTTCAACACATCCCTTGAAACTGGGCAACTACCTGAGGTATGGAAGACGGCAAATGTAGTTCCCATTTTTAAATAAGGAGACAGAAAAGAGACACTAAACTATAGACCACTGTCACTGACATGCATATTATGCAAAGTCATGGAGAAGATTATCGGGAGGAGAGTGGTGGCGTACCTGGAACGGAACAAGAGCATAAACACCAACCAGCATGGATTCATGGAAGGCAAATCCTTTGTCACAAACCTTCTGGAGTTTTATGACATGGTAACAGAAGTAAGATATGAAAGAGAGGGGTGGATTGACTGCATTTTCTTGGACTGCAAGAAGGCCTTCGACACAGTTCCCCACAGGAGATTATTGCAGAAGCTAAAGGATCAGGCGTGTATAACAGGAAGGGCACTTCAATGCATCAGAGAATACCTGACAGGGAGGTGACAATGAGTCATGGTATGTGATGAGGTATCACAGTGGGTGCCTGTGATGAGAGGGGTCCCATAGGGGTCAGTCCAAGGACCAGTGTTGTTTTTGGTATATACAAGTGACATGACAGAAGGGATAGACTCAGAAGTGTGCCTGTTTGCAGATGATGTGAAGTTAATGAGAAGAATCAAATCAGATGAGGATCAGGCAGGACTACAAAGTGACCTGGACAGGCTGGACACATGATCCAGCAACTGGCTACTCGAATTTAACCTCGCCATATGCAAGGTCATGAAGATTGGGGAAGGGCAAAGAAGATTGCAGACAGAGTATAGGCTAGGTGGCCAAAGACTGCAAGCCTCGCTCAGGGAGAAAGATCTCTGGGTGAGTATAATGCTAAGCACGTCTCCCGAACTACACATCAACCAGATAACTGCTGCAGCATATGGGCACCTGGCGAACCTGGGAATAGCGTTCCGATACCTTAGTAAGGAATTGTTCAAGACACTGTACACCATGTATGTCAGGCCAATACTGGAGTATGCAGAACCAGTTTGGAACCCACAAATAGTCAAGCACGTCAAGAAATTAGAGAAAGTGCAAAGGTTTTCAACAAGGCTAGTACCAGAGCTCAGGAGAATGTCCTCTGAAGAAAGGTTAAGGGAAATCAGCCTGATAACTCTGGAGGACAGGAGGGTCAGGGGAGACACGATAACAACATATAAAATACTGTGAGGAAATGACAAGGTGGCCAAAGACAGGATGTTCCAGAGATGGGAAAATCTGGAGCCTCGTGGCGGTCCCAAATCACGGAGAGCCAAGATGATGGATGTGGTACTGGAAAACCTCATGCATCAACATGTTAGAGACACTACCAGAGAGAGAGGTGAAGACCTAGGATTCGCCGTGAGTAGTTCGGGCATCGAGTATATCATGTATGAAAGGCCCCTTGGAGCTAGTGATCGTGTGGTTCTGTGCTTTGATTACATAGTTGAGCTACAAGCGGAGAGGGGAGCAGGAATAGGATGGGATAAACGAAACTACAAAACTGGGGACTACACAGGCATGAGGAACTGCCTACAAGATGTTCAGTGGGAGAGAATTGGCAGGAAAACCAGTAAAAGAAATGATGAACTATGTGACAACAAAATGCAAGGAGGCAGAGGCGAGGTTTGTTCCTTGGTTCACCTGAAGGTGTAGGGAGGTAAAAACTAAGTGCACTAAAGAATGGAAAAAGTACAGAAGACAAAGGACCCAGTAAAATAGAGAGATTAGCCAAAGAGCCAGAAACGAATGTGCACAGATAAGAAGGGAGGCTCAGCGACAATACAAAAATGACATAGCATTAAAAGTCAAGTCTGACCCGAAGCTGTTGTCTAGCTACATCAGGAGGAAAACAACAGTCAAGGACCAGGTAATCAGGCTGAGGAATGATGATGGGGAGTTCACAAGAAATGACCAAGAGGTATGTGAGGAGCTCAACATGAGATTTAAAGAAGTATTTACAGTGGAGAAAGGAAGGACTCCAGGAATTCAGAATAGGGAGGTACACCAATAAGTGCTGGATGAAATACACACAACTGAGTAGGAGGTGAAGAAGCTGCTATGTGAACTTGATACCTCAAAGCTATGGAAGATGGCAAATGTCGTCCCAGTTTTTAAGAAAGGAGACAGACAAGAGGCATTAAACTACAGGCCTGTGTCACTGATGTGTATAGTATGCAAAGTCATGGAGAAGATCATCAGGAGGAGAGTGGTGGAGCACCTAGAAAAACAGAAGCTTATAAACGACAACCAGCACGATTTCAGGGAAGGAAAATCCCGTGTCACAAACCTACTGGAGTTTTATGACAAGGTAATGGGTAAGACATGAGAGAGAGGGGTGGATAGACTGCATTTTCTTGGACTGCAAGAAGGCCTTTGACACAGTTACTCACAAGAAGCTAATGCAAAAGCTAGAGGATCAGGCACATACCAGGAAGGGCACTGCAGTGGATCAGAGAATACCTGACAGGGAGGCAACAACGAGTCATGGTATGTGGTGAGGTGTCAGAGTGGGCACCTGTGACAAGCGGGGTTCCACTGGGGTCAGTCCTAGGACCTATGCTGTTTTTGGTGTATGTGAATGACATAATGGAAGGGATAGACTCAGAAGTGTCCTTGTTTGCAGATGATGTGAAGTTAATGAGAAGAATCAAATCAGTCGAGGATGAGGCAGGACTACAAAGAGACCTGGACAGACTACAAGCCTGGTCCAGCAACTGGCTCCTTGAATTTAGCCCCGCCAGATGCAAAGTCATGAAGATCGGTGAAGGGCAAAGAAGACCGCAGACACAGTATAGTCTAGGTGGCCGAAGACTGCAAACCTCACTCAAGGAAAAAGATCTTGGGGCGAGTATAATACCGAATACGTCTCCTGAGGCGCACATCAGTCAGATAACTGCTGCAGCATATGGATGTCTGGCAAACCTAAGAGTAGCTTTCTGATACCTCAGTAAGGAATTGTTCAAGACTCTGTACACCATATACGTCAGGCCCATATTGGAGTACACAGCACCAATTTGGAATCCACACCTGGTCAAACTCGTCAAGAAATTAGAGAAAGTTCAAAGGTTTGCTACAAGACTAGTCCCAGAGCTAAGGGTATTGACCTATGAAGAAAGGTTAAGGGAAATTGGCCTGACAGCACTGAAGGACAGGAGGGTCAGGGGATATGTGATAATGACATAAAAATACTGCGAGGAATTGACAAGGTGGACAGAGACGGTCACAGTTGGAAGTTCAAGACTCTTATGAGTCAGAGGGATGTTAGGAAGTACTTCTTCAGTCATAGAGTTGTCAGGAAGTGGAATAGCCTAGATGGCGATGTAGTGGAGGCAGGATCCATACATTGTTTTAAGATGAGGTTTGATAAAGCTCACAGAGCAGGGAGAAAGAGGACCTAGTAGCAAACAGTGAAGAGGTGGGGCCAGGAGCTATGAATCCACCCCTGCAACCACAAATAGGTGAGTACAAATAGGCGAGTACACACATGCACACATATACAACAGGCCTAGTGTCTAATCAACATGTGCCTAGGGCAAAATGGTAACTGTCACATACACACATATACAACAGGCCTAGTGTCTAATAGACATTTGCCTAGGACAAAATGGTGCCTAACACACTCATTGTACCTCCTTACCTACCTTCCTATCTCTGATGACACTCGAGGACAGGAAGGCTAGGGACATATGATGAAGACATACAAAATACTGAGAAGAATCGACAAGGTGAACAAGGGGCAGTGTGTTTCAGAGATGGGATAAAGGAACAAAAGGAGATATTTGAAAGTTGAAAACTCACATGAGTGATAGGGATGTTAGGAAGTATATCATTAGCCTTATTGTCAGGAAGCAGAACAGTCTGGAGAGTGAAGTAGTAGAGGCAGGATCCACATAGCTTGAAGAAGAGGTACAAAAAGGCTTTTGGAGCCAGCAAAAAATTTGCTTTTGAGGCTTTTCATAATAAGATGATGCACTATAGAGGTTTAAGCTCTTCTTTACTGTCATTGTTTCCTACATGACTCCTTGATGCTGGCAGTGGGTCTTGATCCAAGAAATTGGCACTTCTTTTCTCTTCCTCAAATTAAATCTGATTGCCTCCCATTTCCCACTAGCTGTATAACCCCTGCAGGGTTAATGCTTCACCATAAATATAATAATAATATCCATAATAATAATATGCATATAGATAAATAGATTAAAGCTATCTTCAGTGATGCAATATTACTTGCTTCATAGAAAGAAGCTACTAAACTCTTTATTTTGACAAAAATATTTTCATATAAGAAACTGATATTATATTTTAATTGCAAATTCCTTTTTTGATGTATTAATAAAATTACATTTTTTGTTATAGATGAAAATATCATAGTGATAGAAGATATGTCATATGACCCTACATCCAAGCATCTATACTGGATCGACACCTATGCACACACTATTTTCAAGACTTCCATCCCAGACAATTTTGAGGGAAATGATGCATTGGATCTGGAGCATTTGAAAGTTTTTACCAACACTGTTAAACCTCGTGGGATTGCAGTGGATTACTGCAATGAGTGAGTAGATTATTTTCAGCTGAATAGCTATTTGACATAAGTGATTTTTTACATGAATTGGCTTCAAAATGATGAGAATCTTGGTGTCTTTTCAGAAATAATTCCTGCATGATAAACTTCCTGCATCTAGGGTCTTATAAGGCACTAGGGATTATAGCACCCCAGAATTGTCTCCTGACTAGCATCTTTGAGGACTTTCCTGCCACTTGTCTACCTACCTGTAGCTCAGTATGCCTCCTTCCATTAATTATTTTCTCTGGATGATGTTCATTTGCAGTTCTGCAGGTGGCATTATCAGCAGGCACCTGAACACTGCATGCAAGGCAAATGAAATACTCTCCTTCAGTACCTTAGTTTTACTACATATAAAGTTACTCACCTGCTACTGGCACTCAGAGGAAGTATATACTTACAGTAGACCCTCAGTTAGTGCTTGGGCTACATTTTGAAAAATAGGCACATTATATAAATTAGCATTGATTACAGTGAAGAACACATGGGAAATATAATGTTATGTTACTGGGGCCTCCAAAAATGCTCAAAATTTTTTTAAAATAGGCTAAAAGAGTCAAAAGAAAACAACTTTATCTTATCTAAAATTCTGGTTGATGATTGATGATAATGATATCTGAGGTTTGCATTAGGGGGCCGTGTTTCAAAAAAATGTAGCTCGTTTGTTTACCGTCCGATTTCCTCCAGTTTTGGTGCACAAGACAAAGTGTTTTCACTCTTTCTTGAAAATATTTATCAAAAACATACCTCAAACAACAACTGAGACAAGACTGAAAAAGGACTGATTTACTGAAAATGCACTTGTGTAAAACTTTTTTCCTATATGGGACGACGTAAGGTTGTTTGAACACTTGGTGCCGAGAGAACAATGCTTATACAAATTTCTGGTGGATTAGTTTCCTCTAAATATCTTATCTTTATTTCACAAAAAAATAAAGTTTGTTAGTTCTTGGAATGTTGCAAAATATCAGCCCTTTACTCCCACATAAATCCCAAAATAATTGGAATATTTCTCAAAATATTCCACCAGAAAATAGAGAAATACAGGTCTCCCTCAACATTCGCGGGGGTTAGGGAATCAAGAGCCCCGTGAATGTTGAAAAATCGCGAATGTTTGGTGCCCCAATATATTGCAGGGAAATATAATAAAATAATAAAATGAAATAATCTATGTATATACATGTATATACGTACATGCTCCTCCCACTCATATATTTGTCCAATCTCTTTTTAAAGCTACCCAAGGTCCTATCAAAGCTAAAACCTTGGGTAGCTTCACATTTAGGTTGGATAAATACACAAGTGAGAGGTGGTTGGATTTGAATGGGTCTTGCATGCGAGTAAATAGAATGTTCAAAGCTTATTGCTTGGGTAGCATTTATTCTGTTATTGGGCTGGATTTGTGAAGGACCTGAATAGTATGGGCCAACAGGTCTACTGCAGTGTTCCTCCTTTCTTATGTTCTCATGAACAATCATAAAATACGTACCTGAGAACATCGTAAAATATTGTACTGCCTCCACCACTGCCTCGTATTTTTATATAATTTCTTTCTTCAATTCTTTCGTGCTTCTCAGTTTCTTTACCAAAATTTATTTGGGCCCATGGTTAATTATGTAGCAGTCACAGTCAATCAACAAGCACCAAACACAATGAATTATTGTGAAATGTTTGGAAGAGCGCAGAGGATAATACTCACTCCAGCATAAACAAAGCCATACTGACTGACGATGCCTCTACCACCCACTGCTTCAACCCTCGTATTTATTATTATTATTATTATATTATTATTATTATTATTATTATTATTATTATTATTAGCAGTCATGAATGAGTTGACATTATTTATACTGTAGTTTAATAAATAATGAACAAACAAAACACTCACCACTCGTAAGGCAGACGAACTCTGATGACTTGTGATGATTAAAAAAATTTAAATTATAATTCTTTATTTCTCTATTGATATTACATGCAGTTACTGATGACAGTTGAATGGAGATGATTATATGGAGTGTAACTGCATGGCATGAGACATACTTTCACCACCACACAAACAGCATTGACCGACTCGCACAGTGGCTGGAGACTGACTGACTGACTGAGTGAGTAGCGGGTGGGAGGGCTGGCTGCCAGTTGTTATTATTATTATTGTTATTATTAATAACATGTATTATTATTAACATGTATGTATTTAATAACATGTTATAAATAATAATAGTACATATTATTAATAACATGTATGCTATTAAATACCATTGCCTCAATCACTGCCTCTACCACTCCAGTCACACTCAATCTACAAGCACCAAACACAATGAATTATTGTGAAATGTTTGGAAGAGCAGGGAGACTAATGTTTACTCCAGCATAAACACAGTCACACTGACGATGTGTCAACCACTCCCTCGTATTTTTGTACAATTTCCTTCTTCAATTATATCATATTTATTATTATTATTATTATTATTATTATTATTATTATTATTATTATTGTTATTATTATTAGCTGTAGCAGAAATGTTTAATTCTTTGCAGTGTTCAAGAGTAAACACATGATGTCACCGTCTAATACCTGTCCGAATAGCCATTCCAATATGCAGTCATGAATGTGTTTACATTATTTATACTGTAGTTTAATAGCAAATAATGAACAAACAAAACACTCGCCACACTGAGTGGTGGGAGGGCTGGCTGCCAGTTGCGGGGGTCGGAGGGAGGGTAGTAGGGACTCGCAGGTGGCGGGAAACTTAAATATGATTTGGCGGCTGGGAATTTGGTGGCGGGGAATTTGGCGGTTGGGAATTCGCGAATGTGTGAAGCCCGTGAAAGTTGAAAACGTGAATGTTGAGGGAGACCTGTAAATATTTTACAATTTCTGTGAATATTATTGCATTTAATTAAGTAATAAAGGAAGAATTATTTACATTTGGTGAATAAGTTACTTCCAAGATATTGGCCTGGAGCGCCGGCCGGCCCCCGTCTCAAAAAAATTTGTTTTTTCGCGAAAATCGCGTTTGTTTGGGTGTATTTCTTAGTAAACTGATATTCTAGTGCAGTTATCCTCTTCAAAACACCATTTTCTCTTACTCAGAGACCAAAGAATACGACATGAGAGGATTCACTCATTTATGTACAGGTCTCTCTCAACATTCACGTTTTCAGCTTTCGCGGGCTTCACATATTCGCGAATTCCCAACCGCCAAATTCCCAGCCACCAAATTCCCAGCCGCCAAATCATATTCAAGTTTCCCGCCACCTGCGAGTCCCTACTACCCTCCCTCCGACCCCCACAACTGGCAGCCAGCCCTCCCACCACTCAGTGTGGTGAGTGTTTTGTTTGTTCATTATTTGCTATTAAACTACAGTATAAATAATGTAAACACATTCATGACTGCATATTGGAATGGCTATTTGAACAGGTATTGGACGGTGACATCATGTGTTTACTCTTGAACACAGCAAAGAATCAAATATTTCTGCTACTGCTAATAATAACAATAGTAATAATAATAATAATAATAATAATAATAATAATAATAATATAATTGAAGAAGGAAATTGTACAAAAATACGAGGGAGTGGTTGACACATCGTCAGTGTGGCTTTGTTTATGCTGGAGTGAGCATTAGTCTCCCTGCTCTTCCAAACATTTCACAATAATTCAGCCGTTGAGGCAGTGGTAGAGACAGTGATAGAGGCAGTGGTAGAGGCAGTGGTAGAGGCAGTGGTAGAGGCAGTGGTAGGCAGACAGTGGTAGAGGCAGTGGTAGAGGCAGTGATAAGCTAAGGCAGTGGTAGAGGCAGTGGTAGAGGCAGTGGTAGAGGCAGTGATAGAGGCAGTGGTAGAGGCAGTGGAAGAGGCAGTGGTAGAGAGGTAGCAGTGGATAGAGGCAGTGGTAGAGGCAGTGGAGAGGCAGTGGTAAGAGGCAGTGGTAGAGGCAGTGGTTAGAGGCAGTGATAGAGGCAGTGGTAGAGGCAGTGGTAGAGGCAGTGGTAGAGGCAGTGGTAGAGGCAGTGATGGGAAGAGGCAGTGGTAGAGGCAGTGGTAGAGGCAGTGAAGATGGCAAGTGATAGAGGCAGTGTAGAGGCAGTGTGAGATGAGAGCAATGGTAGAGGCAGTGGTAGAGGCAGTGGATAGAGGCAGTGGTAGAGGCAGTGGTAGAGGCAGTGTAGAGGCAGTGATAGAGGCAGTGGTAGAGGCAGTGGCAGAGGCAGTGGTAGAGGCAGTGATAGAGGCAGTGATAGAGGAAGTGGTAGAGGCAGTGGTAGAGGCAGTGGTAGAGGCAGTGATAGAAGCAGTGATAGAGGCAGTGGTAGAGGCAGGGTAGAGGCAGTGATAGAGCAGTGATAGAGGCAGTGGTAGAGCGGTCAGTGGTAGAGGCAGTGATAGAGGCAGTGATCAGAGGCAGTGAAGAGGCAGTGGTAGAGGCAGTGTAGAAGCAGTGTAGAGGCAGTGGATAGAGGCAGTGGTAGAGGCAGTGGTAGAGGCAGTGGTAGAGGCAGTGGTAGAGGCAGTGATAGAGGCAGTGTAGAGGCAGTGGTGGTAGAGGCAGTGGTAGAGGCAGTGGTAGAGGCAGTGATAGAGGCAGTGGTAGAGGCAGTGGTAGAGGCAGTGGTAGAGGCAGTGATAGAGGCAGTGATAGAGGCAGTGGTAGAGGCAGTGGTAGAGGCAGTGGTAGAGGCAGTGGTAGAGGCAGTGGTAGAGGCAGTGGTAGAGGCAGTGGTAGAGGCAGTGATAGAGGCAGTGGTAGAGGCAGTGTAGAGGCAGTGGTAGAGGCAGTGGTAGAGGCAGTGTAGAGGCAGTGGTAGAGGCAGTGGTAGAGGCAGTGAAGAGGCAGTGGTAGAGGCAGTGAGTAAGAGGCAGTGTAGAGGCAGTGATAGAGGCAGTGATAGAGGCAGTGGAGTGAGAGGCAGTGATAGAGGCAGTGGTAGAGGCAGTGGTAGAGGCAGTGGATAGAGCAGTGGTAGAGGCAGTGGTAGAGGCAGTGGTAGAGGCAGTGATAGAGGCAGTGATAGAGGCAGTGGTAGAGGCAGTGGTAGAGGCAGTGGTAGAGGCAGTGATAGAAGCAGTGATAGAGGCAGTGGTAGAGGCAGTGGTAGAGGCAGTGTAGAGCAGTGGATAGAGGCAGTGGTAGAGGCAGTGGTAGAGGCAGTGATAGAGGCAGTGATGAGGCAGTGGTAGAGGCAGTGGTAGAGGCAGTGATAGAGGCAGTGATAGAGGCAGTGTAGAGGCAGTGGTAGAGGCAGTGGTAGAGGCAGTGGTAGAGGCAGTGTAGAGGCAGTGGTAGAGGCAGTGGTAGAGGCAGTGGTAGAGGCAGTGGTAGAGGCAGTGGTAGAGCAGTGGAGGCAGTGGTAGAGGCAGTGATAGAGGCAGTGGTAGAGGCAGTGGTAGAGGCAGTGGTAGAGGCAGTGATAGAGGCAGTGGTAGAGGCAGTGATAGAGGCAGTGATAGAGGCAGTGGTAGAGGCAGTGGTAGAGGCAGTGGTAGAGGCAGGTAGGCAGTGGTAGAGGCAGTGGTAGAGACAGTGGTGAGCAGTGGTAGAGGCAGTGATAGAGGCAGTGTATTAGCGGTAGAGGCATGGTAGAGGCATGGTAGAGACATGGTAGAGGCATAGCATGGTAGATGGCATGTAGAGCAGTGGTGACAGTGGTTAGCTGTGATAAGCCAGTGATATTTACTAACATATATGTTATAAATAATGTAGTACTTTAGTAATAACATGTTATTAGCTCTATCATGTTATCATGACATGCTACATGTTATACTGTACATGTTATACTGCTAACTATTATGTTTATAATTTACACTGCTCACGCCTGCCTCTACACTGCCTCTATCACTGCCTCTATCACTGCCTCTATCACTGTCTCTATCACTGCCTCTACACTGCCTCTATCACTGCCTCTATCACTGCTCTATCACTGCCTCTATCACTGCCTCACATCCACTGCCTCTATCACTGCCTCTATCACTGCCTCTATCACTGCCTCTATCACTGCTCTCTATCACTGCCTCTATCACTGCCTCTACCCACTGCCTCTATCACTGCCTCTATCACTGCCTCTACACTGCCTCTATCACTGCCTCTATCACTGCCTCTATCACTGCCTCTATCACTGCCTCTATCCTGCCTCTATCACTGCCTCTATCACTGCCTCTATCACTGCCTCTACCACTGCCTCTACCACTGCCTCTATCACTGCCTCACCACTGCCTCTATCACTGCCTCTACACTGCCTCTATCACTGCCTCTATCACTGCCTCTATCACTGCCTCTTCACTGCCTCTATCACTGCCTCTACCACTGCCTCTATCACTGCCTCTATCACTGCCTCTACCACTGCCTCTACCACTGCCTCTACCACTGCCTCTACCACTGCCTCTATCACTGCCTCTACCACTGCCTCTACCACTGCCTCTACCACTGCCTCTACCACTGCTCTCTTATCACTGCCTCTATCACTGCCTCTACCCACTGCCTCACCACTGCCTCTATCACTGCCTCTATCACTGCCTCTATCACTGCCTCTACCACTGCCTCTACCACTGCCTCTACCACTGCCTCTACCACTGCCTCTATCACTGCCTCTATCACTGCCTCTATCCACTGCCTCTACCACTGCCTCTACCACTGCCTCTATCACTGCCTCTACCACTGCCTCTACCACTGCCTCTACCACTGCCTCTATCACTGCCTCTACCACTGCCTCTACACTGCCTCTACACTGCCTCTACCACTGCCTCTACACTGCCTCTACACTGCCTCTACCACTGCCTCTACCACTGCCTCTATCACTGCCTCTCATGCTCTACCACTGCCTCTACCACTGCCTCTACCACTGCCTCTAATCACTGCCTCTATCACTGCCTCTATCACTGCCTCTATCACTGCCTCTACCACTGCCTCTACCACTGCCTCTACACTGCCTATCACTGCCTCTACCACTGCCTTCATCACTGCCTCATATTCACTGCTTCTAAGCACATGCACTACATGCTCACACTGCCTCTACACTGCCTCTATCACTGCCGTCTATCACTCCTCTACCTTACTGTCCTTTACCACTGCCTAACCGCTTGATATTATTGTGAATGTTTGGATGAGCAGATGACTAATGTTACACTTCCAGCATAAATAAGCCACACTGACTGTGTGTCAACCATCTCCTCGTATTTTTTACAATTTCCTTCTTCAATTAACTCATTCCAATTATATATAGTTTTTTACATTATTTATATTCTATTGTTATATAGCATAGCAGAACATATTTATTCAGTCTGATTTCAAGAGTGTTGACACATGATTACCGTCCATACTTTCAAATAGTCCATCCAATATGCAGTATGAAGTGTTACATTATTTATAACTGATTATTAATAGCAAATAATGAACAAAAACACTACCACACTAGTGGTGGAGGGTTGCTGCCAGTTGCTCATGAGTCTCGCTTGCTGGGAAGTGGAGGCAGGTGAGTCGTGGTATTTATAACATACATGTTATTAAAGCATAACATGTATATATTTAGTACAACTTACGACGTTTTCATGTATTTTATGATTGTTCATGGTTCAACAAGTTAAGCAGTATTATATTATATTTCCCTACAATATATTGGGGCACCAAACATTCACGGTTTTTCAACATTTGCGAGGCTCTTGATCCCCTAACCCTCGCGAATGTCGAGGGACACCTGTATATCGAAATATTCCCGATGGTCTCTCGCCGTATTATGGCTTATTTTATTCAGTCTAGAGTATATAACATGTTTGTATGTTATTTATAGTGTTTATTATATCATATTAGATCACCTCTGATAGATAAATAAGCCGTAGAGTTGATATATAAGCTGATATAAGCGTAATAATGAAGTGATTTCTCCTGGCACTCTCTGGAGCGGGAACACTGCCGAGCGTTCCCATATAGTGCCTGGTTGTCTCTACTGTTTTATGATGCCAAATAGTCAGTTATTATATTAGAAAGAATAATGCAAGAAAAAGAGATAAAAAACAAGGGAAAAATTCCAAAAACTATATGGGCTGTGAGCAGACTCACTACCCACATCGCCGTCACCATACCTGATATAAATGACTATAATTTCTTGTAGAAACGTCGTAGAACATTCATTCTGGTACCATTGTGTTGCCAAAGAGTTAAGCTATTTTTCGGTATAAATAACTCAATTTCCATAATTTTTCGATTTTTTTTGACAGCGCGCTGAAATGCGCTGAAAATTGCGATAAGGCCTCCCTTAGTAAAGGAGGTGGAGAAAGTTTAAATTTCTTAATCCTGTAATGCACTGACAAAATATTGAAGAGATGTTTTGTAATTATTCAGGACTCCTGAGATATGCTACTGTATAAGTTGTTTCAGATTGTTGTACTGGAGTAAACGAAATGGATCAGGAGAAGTGAAAAGCAGTGTAGAGATGCTGGATTTGGCTGGAGATGAACATAGAATCATTCAACATGACAAGGACCTTAATTTTTATTATCAGGTAAGACTAGGTATCATTTTACCCTAGAGGAGTATGCTTCTGGAAATAGCCATTATCGGTTATGCCTGGGTATGCTGTACCCAGTGAGGACAAATGTTGAAACACATTTATTATCATCAAAATTTATTGTTGTTATTGAGGAACAGTAGAGTAACAATTATTATAATGAGGTTTATCACAATTTTATTTCATGACCCACACCCATGACTACCTCATTAGTTAGCAATATTATAATAATAATTTTATTTGAAACACTTTCTTGACTGTTAGCTTAATGTTACTGTCATTATAGCCAAAATTCTTAATGTCTCAGTGATTTAAGTGAGTTATGTTATATATCTTTTACTGAATGTGAATTTGTGTTTATATTGTGTACATATTAAGCTAAGTGATGTGGGTTAGTTAGCAGTTAAAAGTCATATGAACAGCTTTGTAATTTGTTATTTTTTCTCTGTAGGGCTTAACATACGATTTCCCACATGGAGCACTTGTTTGGGCAGAGACTTTAGGAGATAACTATACCACAAGCTGCTGTCGCATTGTCACCTCGCCTTCCAGGGCAGCAGAACATTGTGAACTTTTAAGCATGGAAAACTGTTTTCCATTTTCTTTAACAGTTGATGAGGAATACATTTACTGGGCAGATTGGGGCAAAGAAGGCATAATGCGTGCATCACTGACCAATCCTGATGATGTTGTGAAGCTTGTTCATACTCCTTCTGTTATATCAGACATTTCAAAGCATCATGGAGTTTATGGCCTTGCCTTGTTAAATAGCTCAGTAAAAAACTCCTCCTTGGATTTATGTAAAGGACAGAAAAAGTTCAGGTGTAAAGATCATAAGAGTTTCAAGTGTAAAGTAGATAACATGACTGACCTGGAAACTGACATAAAAAGCTTGCCTGCCAAACCTTCTCACCCAGAATCAGCCACTGAAGAAATTTATAAGGATGCCATCATAAGTGCAAAGTCAGCAACCATACACTCATTGAATTCATCAGCAAGTCACACAGAAAATGTTGGTCATGAGGGTAAGAAAAATATAAAACCAGTAAAACATAACACTGAGAAAATTAATAAATACAATAACACTAGTGCAGATTCAATAAGCACCAACTCAATGAATTCAGTAGAAAGTCGTGCAGAAAATGTTGATGGTCAGGATGCTAAGAAGAACGTAATAAGCTCCGTGAAACATGAAAATGAAGCTTTTCACAATGCTTCTTTATTTTTGCAAACAAATGCATCAATGATCAAAGAAGAAATGTAAGTAGAATAATATTGGTTTATGTTACACAGTAATTATTTCATATACAGTGTGAATAAGTTGGTTGTGGTCATTCATGGAACAACTTCCATGGAGATTTTTTTTTTCTGTGGCTAAACTTGGGCATCCTCTGGTTGTGCTCTGTGCAATACATTCCCACAATACTTTTATTTAATGAACACTTTTCTAGTCATTTTCTTAGTTACCTTTAAATCCACTAGGTTCACATTAACAGTTTCTTCACTTCTAATTTTCCCAATAATATATTCTGAGATAATTCTTTTTCTTGTTTACTGGTGATAGTGGGTGATAGCTGTCTTACTAGTAACCAATGCAACATATGAAGGATTATAAATTTTTACTTTTTTTTTTTTCAACAAGTCGGCCACCTCCCACCGAGGCAGGGTGACCCAAAAAGAAAGAAAATCCCCAAAAAGAGAATACTTTCATCATCATTCAACACTTTCACCCCACTTATTCATAATCACTGTTTTTGCAGAGGCGCCCAGATACAACAGTTTAGAATCATTTATAAAGATATACAACATATCTCTCCAAACTGCCAATATCCCAAACACCTCCTTTAAAGTGCAGGCATTGCATTTCCCATTTCCTATACTCAAGTCCGGCTATATAAAAATAACCGGTTTCCCTGAATCCCTTCACTAAATATTACCCTGCTCACACTCCAGCAGCTTGTCAGGTCCCAAAAACCATTCATCTCCATTCACTCCTATCTAACACGCTCACGCACGCTTGCTGGAAGTCCAACCCCTTGCCCACAAAACCTCATTTACCCCCCTACCTCCAACCTTTTCAAGGACAACCCCTACCCCACCTTCCTTCCCCATCAGATTTATACGTTCTCCATGTCTTTCTACTTTGATCCATTCTCTCTAAATGACCAAACCACCTCAACAACCTTCTTCAGCCCTCTGACTAATACTTTTATTAACTCCACACTTTTTTTTTTTTCAACAAACTGGCCATATCCCACCTAGGCAGGGTGGCCCCCCAAAAAAAACAAGGGTTTCTCTTTTTAAATTTAGTAATTTATACAGGAGAAGGGGTTACTAGCCCCTTGCTCCTGGCATTTTAGTCGCCTCTTACAACACGCATAGCTTACGGAGGAAGAATTCTGTTCCACTTCCCCATGGAGATAAGAGGAAATAAACAAGAACAAGAACTAGAAAGAAAATATAAGAAAACCCAGAGGGGTGTGTATATATATGCTTGTACATGTATGTGTAATGTGACCTAAGCGTAAGTAGAAGTAGCAAGACATACCTGAAATCTTGCATGTTTATGAGACAGCAAAAAAGACACCAGCAATCCTACCATCATGTAAAACAATTACAGGCTTTCGTTTTACACTCACTTGGCAGGACAGTAGTACCTCCCTGGGTGGTTGCTGTCTACCAACCTACTATCTAGGATTAACTCCACACCTTCTCCTAATTTCCACACTCTGAATTCTCTGTGTAATATTTACACAAAACATTGCCCTTAGACAGGACATCTCCACTGCCTCCAGCCGCCTCCTTGCTGCAGCATTTACAACCCAAGCTTCACACCCATATAAGAGTGTTAGTACTATTATACTTTCATACATTCCCTTCTTTACCTCCATAGATAACATTTTTTTGTCTCCACATATACCTCAACGCATCACTAAGATTTTTTCCTTCGTCGGTTTTATGGTTAACCTCATCCTTCATAAACCCATCCACTGACACGTCAACTCCCAAATACAGTGGAACCTCTGCTTGCGAGTTTAATCCGTCCCAGGACCTTGCTCACAACTGGATTTGCTCATTTGCAGAGTCAGTTTTTCTCATTTAACCCTTTCTGGGTCCGTCCCGTAGATCTACGGCTTTGCGTTCAGTGTCCAAACCGTAGATCTACGTCATGAGCTCAGCTCACTCTGATAAACTGAGTGGTACACTTGGGCCTAGATATGAGAGAATACATCTATGTGGTATGTGTGCACCACATAAAACAAATCCTGCAGCACACTGTGTATAATAAGAGGAAAAAAACTGAAACCAAGATTTTCGATTAAAACAGCAACTTTGCAGTGTTTTTTCGTATGTTTTTTATAGTTGCATTTGCAATTTCTTGGTCTCATTTGATAGAATGGAAGACATATTACAGAAATAGAGATGATTTTGATTGGTTTTAGCACCGGAAATGGCTTGAAACTGAGCTCAAAGTAGCGGAAATGTTAAATTTTTGTCGATATTCAAGAGTAAACAAACGACCTCACACGTCTAATACATGCCAGCTGGTGGATCTAATACACATTCACAAATGTGGTGATGATATTTATACAATTATTACAATATTGCATAACAGTAAATCTTCTATTTTTTGGTGTGAATAAAAATTCATTATGTAAATAAAAAATAAAAATGGGATTTATTTGTAAAGCCTCAAAACGTAACTAATGAACCGAGGAAATGTTAGTTTAGTTCCAGGAATGCCTACATTGTTTATTCTGGATGCTATTTTGAAATTGGAATATTTTGAACTTTGTGTTAAATTGGCCAAATTACCAATTTCCGATCACTTTATTTTGTAGTTGAAACAGTTGACTTGGCGATTTCTTGTGCTCAATCGATAGAATAGAAGTAATACTAGTAAAATAGCTAAGAATTTGGTCGACTGGAATGATGTAATTGGCCTAAAATGGAAGTCAAAGTCGGCAAAATCGCCGATTCGTAAATATCACTGACACATCAAAATTAGCGAGAGCATAATTTCGTCAATTTTCCATCAAATTTCGTACTTTTTGTTTTATTACCTTCACAAAAAGATTCTCTACCATTTCATAAGAAAAAATAACAAATTTTTTTTTGGAAAATTCTTGGACACTGGTGCGTGACTTCAGATTTTGGCCTTGGACCCTGAAAGGGTTAAATTAATTGAAATGCAATTAATCCATTCCAGTGGAATTCTGTACTTCAATAATTTTGCTACTATCAACTTTACGGCTTATTTATCAATCTCACTTGATCTAATATGACATAATAAGCAATATAAATAACATAGAAACCTGATATATACTCTAAAATGAATAAAATATGTAATTCATGTAGTGGTATGGGCTGTGTCGGCTTTGGACGACAGTTTGGAGATCAGACAAAATACTTCTTGAATAATTTCGCTAATATCATCTATACTGCTTATTTATCTATCACAGTTCATCTGATATGACATAAACAATATAAATAACATAGAAACCTGATATATACAGTGGACCCCCGCATAACGATATTAATCCATTCATGAGAGCTCATTGTTATGCGAAATTATCGTTATGCGAATGAATTTTCCCCATAAGAAATAATGGAAATCAAATTAATCCGTGCAAGACACCCAAAAGTATGAAAAAAAATTTTTTACCACATGAAATATACATTTTCCTACACACAAAGAGAAGGATACATGCACAATAGTAGAGTAGTACATGCACAGTATATATTGTTCATGTACTACTCTACTAAATGAAGAATAAATGACACTTACCTTTATTGAAGATGCAGCAATGACTGATGAGACACTGTGTCCTGGGAGTGCCTTTTCCTCCTGAGTACTGTAGGTCCTGTTTGGCATTTTCTTCCAGAACATGCCTTATCACACTGTGTATGCCACTACGATTCTTAAATCTCTCAAACCAACCTTTACTGGCTTTAAATTCACCAATTTGAGCACTAGTTCCAGGCGTTTTTCCCTGTTCACCTGGGTGTTAGTCGACTGGTGTGGGTTGCATCCTGGGAGACAAGATTAAGGACCCCAATGGAAATAAGTTAGACAGTCTTCGATGGCACTGACTTTTTTGGGTTATCCTGGGTGGCTAACCCTCTGGGGTTAATTGTTTCTTGGTATTCTCAATAAGCCACACCAACAATGGTGCTACAGCAGCAGCAGCAGTAGCTGACAGTGCTACAGCAGCAGCAGCAGCAGCTGACAGTGCTACAGCAGCAGCTGACAGTGCTACAGCAGCAGCAGACGATGCTACAGCAGCAGCAGATGGTACTACAGCAGCAGCAGCAGACGGTACTACAGCAGCAGCAGCAGCTGATGGTGGTACAGCAGCAGCAGCAGCTGACGGTGGTACAGCAGCAGCAGACAGTGCTACAGCAGCAGCAGCAGCTGACAGTGCTACAGCAGCAGCAGCAGCTGACAGTGCTACAGCAGCAGCAGCAGCAGCTGACAGTGCAGCAGCAGCAGCAGCTGACAGTGCAGCAGCAGCAGCTGACAGTGCTACAGCAGCAGCAGATGGTACTACAACAGCAGCAGCAGCAGCAGCTGACGGTGGTGCAGCAGCAGCTGACGGTGCTACAGCAGCAGCAGCAGCTGACAGTGCTACAGCAGCAGCAGCCGCTGACAGTGCTACAGCAGCAGCAGCAGCTGACAGTGCAGCAGCAGCAGCAGCAGCAGCTGACAGTGCTACAGCAGCAGCAGCAGCTGACAGTGCAGCAGCAGCAGCTGACAGTGCTACAGCAGCAGCAGACGATGCTACAGCAGCAGCAGACAGTACTACAGCAGCAGCAGCAGCAGGCAGTACTACAGCAGCAGCAGCAGCTGACGGTGGTACACCAGCAGCAGCAGCTGATGGTGCTACAGCAGCAGCAGCAGCTGACAGTGCTACAGCAGCAGCAGCAACTGACAGTGCAGCAGCAGCAGCAGCAGCAGCAGCTGACGGTGGTACAGCAGCAGCAGCAGCTGATGGTGCTACAGCAGCAGCAGCAGCTGACAGTGCTACAGCAGCAGCAGCAGCAGCAGTTGACCATGGTACCACAGTATTTCGATAATATTTCTCACCCTTTTTACCACAGGGTTGGCACTAGAAGCTTTCTTGGGGCCCATGGTCACTTATTTTGCAGATAAAATCACCAAAAACACTGTAATAATACGAAATGTTACGATTGTATGCTTGGATGTTATGTAGACAGCCTGTACTGTCAGAACACACAGCCTAGCCGTCTGCTCTGACTAGTTCATATTTCGCGGCATTTTTAGGTGCTGCCCTCTGTAGGCTCACCCACGTCAGTGGGAGGCTGAGCTCACCGTCTCTCACTCCTAGGCTGACCGACTTGACAGACACAAGTGCTCCCCCTCCACGGACTGGCTTGTGGT